CCCTCCCCTCCCGCGCTAGCCTAAGGGCCACCTTAGCAAAGCGCATCCCAGGCTGCATAGCCGCACTACCCTACCCAACCATACCACACATAAACATGACACTACCCCCGGGGTTTACACAGACGAGCCGGCGAAGCAAGAAGAGCGCCAGAAGAAAGGGCCCTAGCCGGCGGGGCCCAGCCAGGACAAAAGGAGGTCCCACAAAGCGCCTACACCGGCCGCATTTGCGGTCGGGGTAGACGACGGATGGGGCCCACCTACGAAGGCTGTCCAGGCCTACACTAGATGAGGCAGGATAGAGAGGGATAATCCCCCTCGATCCCAAATCATTGAGGCCAATTTCTAGCCATGGAATAATGGCGCTGGGCAATCAGCCACCGTTAAAATAATACGCATCTAAACAAGTTTATAGTAGGAGTGGGTCCTATATTTACTAGATTATTTTATTTATTGTTTTTCAGTTTTTAATTACTTATCACGACTGTTTGGAACTTTAAGCTACATAAACTAACGAAAGTATGTTAGAAAATTAATTTAATATCTATCAAAATGTATTCAACTGATTAATCAGGGAGACTCTCCATGTGATTAATTATTGAATAGAATGTTCAGAATAGTTCTTTAAGAAGAAAGGAAAACTTCCATAGAAGAAATAATATTTTAGTGTTAGCTCCACTTCCACTTCCACTGTCTATGGTAGCAACCGAGTAACTTTTGACAAATGACATATTTGACAAACAGGTTTGGTGTTAAATGTCACTTTTCAATTTATTTATTAAAGATTTTATATAGTATTTGTGAATATATTTAAAACGTTTGTTAATTTTAATCAGCCAACATGTTAGCGTTAATGAACAGGATATTAGACTGGTTTCGCAGTTTATTTTGGAAAGAAGAAATGGAATTAACATTAGTCGGTCTTCAATATTCAGGAAAAACAACATTTGTTAATGTTATTGCGGTAAGTTTTGTGAACATTTGATACTTATATTTTTTAAAACAAAATTTGTTTTATATATTTTAGTCGGGGCAATTTAGTGAAGATATGATACCAACGGTGGGTTTCAATATGAGAAAAATCACAAAGGGTAATGTAACAATTAAAGTTTGGGATATTGGTGGACAACCAAGATTTAGATCAATGTGGGAACGTTATTGTAGAGGTGTAAATGCTATTGTGTAAGTGAAACGACCATATAAATATATGTACATAATTTACTTACCTTCAAAACTGTTGCATGTTGTGAAAAATTGGTTTACCTATATGTACATCTTAAAATAAATGTTAATAATTAATCTATTTGTGACCGTTACACTATTGCTTCATAAAAATTAAATTGACGTTTATGATGAGTCATCACATGTTCCTTTGTATATTAGCTACATGGTAGATGCAGCTGATCCTGACAAAATAGAAGCCTCCAGAAATGAACTTCACAATTTACTGGATAAACCTCAGTTAGCAGGGATACCTGTCCTGGTGCTTGGTAATAAGCGAGACAAACCTCAAGCTTTAGATGAAAATGGCCTTATTGAACGAATGTAAGTCTAAATTATTTTACTTTTTAAATGTTTTAATCATTACAAAAAAGCAACGTGCGATAAGAATACAAACAAGATAAACTACTTATTTTCATACATCATTATTTTTTAAATTATTTATTGAAATTTAAATATATTGTACATAAAATTTTGGTGTCTTTCGACTCTGTTTTTTCAGAATTTTTTTTTTATTTTTCAACATAGTCTCCTTGTAACTCTACACACTTCTCCCACCGATGCTCCCATTTCTGAACCCGTCCAAATAGTACTCGGCGTTTTTCTCTGCAAAATAATTGTTCACGAAGGTGATTGCCTCTTAATTTGACAAAAATCTCTGTCCGAGCACAATTTTTAGATAAGGGAACAAAAAGAAGTCGCTTGGGGCTAGATCTGGTGAGTAAGGCGAATGGTCAAGCAGTTCAAACCATAATTCGTGGATTTTCGCCATGGCAACCGCTGAGGTGTGAGATGGTGCGTTGTCTTGGTGAAACAGGATTTTCTTTTTCTGCAAATGTGGTTGTTTTTCCGCAAGTTCTGCCTTCAGCTTGTCAAGTAATGATGCATAGTATGCTCCTGTAATGGTTTTTCCTTTTTGAAGATAATCTATTAAAATAACTCCATGACTATCCCAAAAAACAGTCGCCATCACTTTCCCAGCCGAAAAAACAGTTTTTGCTTTTTTTGGAGCCGGTTCCCCTTTTGCAGTCCACTGTTTGGACTGTATTTTTGTTTCGGGCGTATAATGGTGTATCCAAGTTTCATCTACAGTAATTAATCGGCGCCAAAACTCGGATTT